CATTTTTTGTCCATGTTGATGATGCACACAGGCCAAGGCGCGAAACGAGCCTGCGTGCATACGGATCGCGTCTGAGACTAAAGGCAAACAGGTGATGACTATTCACTGAAAACACGTCTTAGATCAGTAATAAATATACAATACAAATACATTAACAAATTGTGCCAGTGCGCCTAGATGCTGGCATGCGCATAAGTTATGGATAAGAAAACAACCTCCAAAAATTGAAGTTAGCTGCGAAAAATAAGTACCGTATTTTTCATCGATAACGCGCACGTTATCTATACAAAAAAGTCTTCAATGTAAAAAACGATGCGCGCTATGCAATATAAAACGAAAAAAAGTCCATATTATTTCAAGTCATCTACTACACAGTAATTTAAAACTGCGTTTACCGTGAAAATAAATTAGTCTGAAACCATGTACATATTGTAATATCAGTGAATATAAGGGTTAATATAACAACATAAATAAAAATAAAACATGAAACGCAAAATAATTTAGCTGCTTCACGTAAATGTGCTGGCCGCCTCTTGATTCCCATATATTTTTGCAAAATTAACGGCTTCCAGCTTAAACATCACTGCATAAGATCTTTTTCGCACAGTGTTTTTTCCCTTTCCATCGGTAATATTCTCAGGAGCAACTTTCAATTAAAAAACTAAACATCTACAGAATACACATGTTCAAAGACCAGAAGCAACATCCTGACTCTTGCTAATTCTTCTGTTCGCCTGTTCTAGACACAGCCGGTGCCAGCCATTATATTCCATTATTCACTTGCCCAAAAACTGCCTTTTTTCAGACAAGAAATAGACTACACGCTACTATACATTTCATGAGCATTAGATATTACAAGGTGCGCGTTATCTATATTTATACATTTTAACGAGCATACAGAAGTAAAAGGTGCTTGGGATACATAAGGTGCGCGTTATCTACGGGAAAATACGGTAACTGTGGACAGGCAGCGGTGCAGCCACCGGGAATGGCAGAGTTCGAGCTTGAAAAATTCGATCCTTATAAAAATAAGTCAAAGTTTCCTATGACAATATCACGTCGAGACGAAAGCGACTCGGTCCTTTGAAAAAAAGGCCGCCAATGTCATCGCTGCCTTGCAATTAGACCTTGATTCGTCCAAGCCTACAGGAAATAACTTCGATTAATAAAACTACCCATACCAAATTCTCCAACCCACCATCAGTCCTGCCGGTGGATGGGAAAAATTTTTTATGTCATGACAACATAAAGTTTACCGACACGAATCATCGCCTACTACTGGCTGGTACATGTGATCCAGGAGATTAATAAATTAATATTAACATAAAGACTTCAAGCTAGGCTGAAGGTAGAAATCATAAACAAGTAATTCTGTTTTGGCGACAGACAGTAAGAAGGACAAGAAAATGTGCTCAGCATAAAGCAAGAAGCACAACTTAAAAGAAAACAACAATGATATATCTATATAAGGTGTATAAAGTAATATATGTGTAGCATACAAGGGAGCAGAAAATGCCTTCGCACAAAACGCATCCTATCCTATCCTAAATGAACTCAGAAAACCATTACAATCAATTTGTGCTGAGTCCATAAATTATTCAGCGACCAGTATCTGGGAGAAAGTCTGAACTAGCTTAGCGATCAACAACTGTTAACTGCATAGAGCTGTTGTTAGTGATGAATTACAGGAAAGTGGGTCATCACTTAAAACTCAAACCTATGAGGAGAAACAGGAATGGATTAAAGATAAGAGAGGAAGCAATATAGCGCGCGTTTCTTGCCTTTTCCCTGAACGCTTTGTGCACTCGAGGTATAAATTTTTACCTCGTTAAAACCTGTTACCTTCAAGCATCCCTGCAGCTTCAAGTAAGGGCAGTAGTCACTATCAGGTCTTTCCTGGTTATTTTCAAAAGATGCTGAGGCGGAAGCGAATTTGCACAGCATCCATTCATCTTCTGGCGTCACGAATGCAAGTGTCTGCAACATCTACAAAGGATTCGCCTTGATATTCCTGCCATTTTTACTTCCTGTTACTTTACAAATACTATTGCACATCCAAACGGACCACTAAATGAACACAGCATAACAGCTAACATATACAAGCGGTTAAAAACTAGATTTTTATTTGATTAAAAATTAATTAACCAAGAGCATAATTTAATTAAATTTTTGAGTACTTTTTTGCATAACAAACTATATTTGG